TATATCTATATCTATATCTATATCTATATCTATATCTATATCTATATCTATATCTATATCTATCTATCTATCTATCTATCTATCTATCTATCTATCTATCTATCTATCTATCTATCTATCTATATATTTAATTCTTATTTCTACTGTCTAACCAACTATGCCACTTATCCCAGATTGTATAATGTTCTGATTCCTCTCTATCTTGCAGTTCCAAAGTAAGTTTAACCATCTCAGCACAGTCCAACACTAAAGGATAGCTACCTATATAATATTATCTATAATATATCTATACTATATGTTATAGGTTGCATATGATTTAAACTTTAAAATAAATGTGTGAGATATAACCCACTCTGAGCATTTAATAGTATTAAGACTTTCATAATGTGTTAAAGTATTCACAGGCTATATATTATCTTTATATGGTTAGTCTCAGTATGTATCAGGCAAAGGTCTTATGCAAAGTCTTATTTTCTTCCTGCATGTTGATTCTTCTTTCCTGTTTCCTAGGAAAATGTTACAATGAAATCAGAAATGCGGGCAAATGAAATTCAGCGGCTGGAGCAAACCATACAGGATTTAAAAACAAAAATTGCTGAGCTAGAGAAACAGTTTCCAGCAACAGAGGTGTTGGTTTCAAGCAGAAGCGTGTGGAATGAGACCCAACAACCGACTCATGAAGGATTACCTACCAGAGCTTTTCAAGAACATGAATTGTGCGCTCTAGTTAAAACTATAACTGCAACATCTGTGCAGACATCTCCAACAGATGATTGTTTAACACACATAATGCCTTCAGACAGTACACTGCCACAAGCACCTCCCCACCTCAAAGGGGATCCAGGTCAAGGGCCAACTCAGCCGTTGCCAACACTTGAGCCACAACCCACCTTTTGCTCTGAAATAGCTTTAGTTTTGTCACCAAAACAGATTTCAGTACAGCTGGATGCTTTCCAGGAACAATTGACAACGCCACAAACTCCATGTTTATTTCAAGAGGAATCTGTGCCATCAGTTCCCCATCTTCCTCTGAGTATGGAGACCATAACATGGAATGAACATTCCCCATCTTTATCTTCTCCCATCACTTCTGCTCCTCTATCTACTGACACTGGAATTTCTCTGCCTGGGGCAGGTGGCCCTTTTTTATCTTCATCGGGTTCACCCCCCTCATCCCTTTCTGCCTCAGGATATTTAGGGTCTTCATCTGACATAGTACCAACCTCTGCTCCATCATTCCCCACCAAAAGGACTTCTTCCCCATCATGTCTGACAGGAATGGACATGATGCCATCTACCCCTTCTTTATCTCCTGCAAGCATCTCTTCTATGCCACCTTTGCCTACGGCTGGACTACCTACCGAGATCTCATCTCTACCACCTTTTCCTGTAACTGGAATTCCACCTCCTCCACCTTTGCCAGGACCAGTTAGTTCCTTTTTGCCAGGGATAGTGCCACCCGCTCCACCACTACCCCCTTTGTCAGGCATGGGAATGCCGCCCCCTCCGCCGCCACCCCCATTGCCAGGCATGGGAATGCCACCCCCTCCGCCGCCACCCCCATTGCCAGGCATGGGAGTGCCTCCCCCTCCGCCCCCACCTCCATTGCCAGGCATGGGAGTGCCTCCTCCTCCACCACCTCCTCCACCTTTGCCAGGCATGGGAGTGCCATCCCCTCCGCCCCCACCTCCATTGCCAGGCATGGGAGTGCCTCCACCTCCTCCACCTTTGCCAGGTATGGGAGTGCCACCCCCGCCTCCACCACCCCCTTGGCCAGGTATGGGGGGACTTCCACCTCCTCCCCCTCTGCAAGGACCGACAGTGCTGCCTCCTCCACCCCCTTTGCCTGGGGCAGGAGCTCCTCCTTTGCCTGGAATGGGCATGCCACCACCCCCGGCTCCTAGTCTACCACAAGTGTCTGGGTTTCTTCCTCCTCCTTTGCCAACCGGTTTATTTGTAATGGGAATTAATCAGGAAAAAAGTAGCAGGAAGCATGCAATAGAACCTTCTCGACCCATGAAGCCTCTTTATTGGACAAGAATCCAGCTTCATAATAAAAGGTAAACAATATGTTAAAAATGTTGGTCTGAAGCTTTTGAAATGTTAATATCAATTTCTCTAGAACTGTAAATACAGTAAGCCATTTGTCTGTACATTGTTCTTTCTGTAGCGCTATAAATTCAGAACTGTAGCTTAAAGTGCTTTTTCACTGTGTTGGTTTTTAAGCCTTTGTGAAACAATGTTAGGAAGAAATATTACCCTAAATATTTTTAAAGGTAAATACTACCATGTGGTATAGCCTTACCACATAGTTTTTGGCAGGATATATTTATCTTTCCAATGCAGCAATGTGTATTATTATCCTTTCTTAATCATATGTAATAACATGGGTATATTTGGATCCCCACCCCCCATGTATATTGGCTTTTCTCAATGACCAGTTCATACCCAGTACCAGACTCCTTTGTTATTTTTTTTCTTACCTCTTTTTGCTCTTTTTTTCCTCATTGCTAAATTTTAGCAGACCTAAATACATGTCCAAATGGTAGTTGGAAATGAATCAATAACAGACTTGTTCCATGAACAATCTGGACCACTCCCCTCACCCCACCCTCACCCCAAAAACCCTTATTAGCATCATTTGTCTGAAAATATCCAAAAGTTCCCTCTGGTAGCAAGTTTGAAGACTGATAATGGGGAGAATAATTTATGCACACAGTAGAGAACCAGAAATTGTTTGGATTTGCTAGAAGATAGTATGAGTGAACAAGGATATGTTCTGTTTATATGTTTTAGAACTGGTGCTCAGTTTAGGAGGCAGTGCTTTTACCTTCAAATAAGAAATGACAGATATTGAATAAGTTGATCTGCTTTTGAATTTCACTCTCCTCATGAAGAAGACCAAGTGGTTTTAAGGAAAGGGTTGATTTACACATGCTCAGAAGATTATTACTATTTTATAAGCTCTTTAGAGCTTGAGGAAGAAATCTGTGTTATAGGCCTTCATAATGCCAAACTTTGCATATTGAAAACTTTATAATAGGCCTTTGTAATATCAAACTTTGCATCATTGTGTCATTTTGCAGGAAAAAGCTTTTTCTGTGTTAGACTTTTGAGTAATAAAATTTCAAAGACTTGTTCTATAGGGATGGAGAGCAACTTCAGTGAGGCTACTTGAGAAAGGAGGTCTCAGATGAGGGCCATACATGATAGAACCTTGTACCTTCTATTTCTTTGAGTGTCTTGTTGGTTTTTGGCATTTCTGAAATGTAAATCTCCCATCCATTATCTAAGTGGAATTTGTACCTTCAAATCACTATACCTTGTGCAAAGTAGAGAACCAAGCATATTTTCAGACAAATCACCCAGTTCTTAACTTATACATGTTCTTTACTTTCACATTTAAAATAAGTTCTAGGCTGATCAATAAAAAGTATAAAGAGAAAAGGTCCGAAGATGAGGCTGAGTGGCTGTGAAAAGGATAAAGGTATAACAGTGCTAGGAAAATCTCAAGAAATTGGGAGAAAAAAAATTATGGTTACTCAATATGAATTTCTTTCAGAAATAATCTGTGAGCTATGCACTAGTTGATGATGCTTGTTGAAAATTATAGAAAATCATAATAGTTATCATTATCAGACAATGCATTATGTAAAGTTCATGCTATATTTTCTGAAAATGTTTTCTTTTTGTTCTTCTCCTTAATTATATTTTTGGCTTACTATTCCACATATTATTTTTCTCAACTATTGTAATAATCATGGAAAGCAGCCTTCAGTATGAATCTGATAATATATAAGTTATTGCATGTCTATATTTAGTATAAATATAGATCCCACTGAAAAGTACTATCTATATGTCGTGCAAAAAATTGGCAACATATCTCTTTTATGAATCAGAAAGTTTTGATATTTTTGTAGTTCATTTTCAATTGGAAAAATGAATTTAGCAATGAAACTGATAATTCATCTATCTTCATCCCACCATTTTGTGACTATTTAGTCTGATGTTGTCCTACATAGGTCTTTTGCTTAACTTTAGAGATTCTAGTGCTTCACTTGTGTGGGAAAAAATTGAAGAGCCTTCAATAGATTATCATGAATTTGAAGAACTGTTTTCTAAAACAGCTGTTAAAGAGAGGAAGAAACCTATTTCGGATACCATCACCAAGACAAAAAATAAACAAGTGAGTATTAAATTATACTTTTCTTTAGAGGGAATTAGAAAACTTTGGCTAAGTCTACTGGAAGACAGCAAGCATGAGTAGGAGATCTGTAAGTATTTCACGATTGCTTCGTGCAGCAGTCTGAAGGGAGACGGAGATACATTCAATGGAAACAAATGGTTATGAACAGTGCTATGTTGAATATATGTATTTGGCTAGAAAGGGAGAATAAATGTTAAAATTAAAAATAAAATGTACAAGGCAGAATAGAGAGAAGATACGATGTAGATATTAGATGTATAATAGCAAAAGATAGGCAAGGAATGGAATGGAGAGGGAGATGAACCTCTTTTTCATTGGTTCTTGGGTCTGATCAGGTTTAGGGTACTGGTGGATAAACTGAGAATTTCTTGAGGCTTCTTATAATATGGCCAATTGAATAAAACTTGGAAACTAATAATAATTTCACTGTTTTTTCCCGGTATTAATTCTTGACAATTATTAATGAATGTGTGTGT